CTTCAATATTATTATAATTAAATCGGCATTCTCAATATTATTTTATTCGAAACAGTGTCTTAAATATTATTTCAAAAAATCTATAAAAGATTTAGTGGAAAAAATAACCTGCACCAACAATTGAAAACGCAGTCCAATCTCGGTTTATAAGAGAACAATGTGAATGCACGAATGGCTTCAATGCGCAGAAAAAGTTTAATAGGATACAGTACATGTTTCGACCAACTTGTTTAAATATTTGTTGGAGTTGAGTTGCTCTAAATTTAAGCATACGTCGTACCATCGTACTCTTAATACGTACAATATAATTTGTATTGCTGTAAATAAAATTAAACATTTTTTAATTAAAGGAGACGTTAAGATTTCAATCGCATCTCGACGGAATCTTCTAGATCTCTAAATTCAAATTTATAGAACATCTGAAAACGAAATCTAACAACAAAAATCTGTTGAATTAACTACTTTAGAATTAATTAAAATTGTATTCTGAAATTTTTAAACTGAAATTAAACATTATATATCTTTGAATGTTCTAAAAATCTATTACATTATTTAATATTACAATCACTATTGTTTTTTCTCATCCTTATTTTTTTCTGAATTTTGTGTTATTACTTTTACAATATTATTTGGCATATTACTTTATCTAAAATGTGTCTTTTTATATAACCAAGCGATCATCACGTTTTAACTGTATGTCTAGATTTTTAATTGTAGACTTGTAGAAGTCGATTGAATTATGATAGTTCTTAGAGCATACTGCTCTTTAAAAATTCATAACTAGAATTTTGTTACAGATATGTCACACAGCGACCGACGATATACACGCAACAGTTAATTATTTCATTAAAAAGATACAACATCCTACATCGCATTTTTAAAGTCATTGTAATGTTTTTAATTTTTCAACCTAGAACCAGTAATTTCTTTCTACACTAAAACAATTTAGTGACGAAAAAAGAATTTCCCGAGATTCTAGGAGTTAAGAAAGAAAAACACGTTATACGATTGTGTATAATAGCAATAACTTTGGAAACGTTTGCTTCTGGCGAAGAAACTAATCTCACGATTAGTTTTCAAATTACAAGTATTAGTTACAAGTATTCTAAAAAGATTTATTGGCTTAATAAACAATTCGAATGCAATAATTCCGCGAGAATAATGATTATTGCTTCCAGCGTAAGTATTCGTTCACTGAATTTCAGATTTCTGACAAATTGTCGATATTCGAACTGTTTGTTATAATTTCGTAAAAGCGAGTCATACAACAACGAACTTAGACTAATTCTAAAGCTCGAAGCTTCTACTTACATTGTGCCCCGTTCATTTTCCTGTAACATATTTCTGCATAATGTAACAGGTGGGAATCTGGAGACATGCACTTTCTGGAAAATATGACGGATTGAAATGTCTGTAAATACACTCAAAAATTTTTTTCACGACTGATCCTAATACAGACTTCAAGACTAAAGTCTCCGCTTCACAATGACATCTTACACTCTGATGTACGATTTTTTTAACCCCTCTATTGAGCTTTAAATAAAAAGTGTGCTGCTTACTTTACAGTAACATGAGGTTCACGATGTCTTTACACGAACTTGCTTCTCGTTTCTGTTTCATAGAATGTCTAAACGTCGAACAGCAAGTTTCGAGAGGTCGTTCTAAATGGCAATCTCTAATCTACAAATCTGTGGTCGATTGGTTCGTGAAAAAAATGTCTCAATGATTTTGGAGAGGTTTCAATTTCTAACACTTTCGAGTAAACCTGTGTCGTCAAATTTCTGTTTGTTATGAGTTGTGAAATAATATATAATATTAACATAAAAGAAAATTACGAAGGAAGAGGTGTCAAGCTTGAAAACGTATCCAGATTTATTATTGTGTAACTCTTTTTTACGAAATTATAACCAGACTGCGGTTTTCATGCATTTATACATTTAGCAAAAACAAGTAGTCGAAATATAAAATTGCGAAGACATGAGAAGAATGTACACACTATTTTCAATTCATCAAAATTATTAAAAGAAACAATTTATTTTTATCCAATTTCATTTTCTGACAATTGCCTTTGAAGATGTATCCGCATTCCAATTATAACAGTTCAAATCTCGACGATTTGTCAAACATCTGAAATTCAATGTACGAACGCTTTTAATGCTGACTGTACGTACACTCATATTCTCTCTGAGAATCGATTTCGTTCGAATTAAAAGGAAACTGATTTAAAGAGGTTACAGAACCGCTTAGTGAAATGCTGTACGGATTAACAAGCCGAATAAAAACGTGCTATTGATCGCGGAATTCATGGATATTCGACTGCCACGTCAAAGCGGTTCGATTCCAACTTGAAATATTCAGGAAGGGAAAAATAGAGGCAAACGAAGAGGAGCGCGACGAAAAAACTTACCGTCGACGAATCGGAATTCGTGGAGATACTGTTCCCTCTTGAAAGCCTCTTGCCAAGATCGAAACGGGGACGAGGATCCCGGAAAATGAAAGTCAGTTTACAAGCACAGCATCGGTTCCGCGTTGAACAGTTTCCCAAACGACTGTTCTATACACTGGCAACTATTCCGCGCGATCACTCGCAGTTATGATGCCTACCAGTCTTTAGTATACACGACAATAGAGAGTCGTTCGTCCTTTAAAATTACAGCGAGCGCTAAAGAGAAGGAAAATTTGCGTGTATGCGTCGTTATTGTTCGATTGATTCGAATCGTTACGGTGGCGGAACAGCTGGCAAAACAATTATTTTTGCATCTCGAGCTATATATTGAACCAATTAATTTGCTACTGTCGAATAAGAAATATAAAATTACAACAAACATCACAGTACAACAGTTATCGCAACATAAAAATCCATTAGTTACTGAATTAACACGAACCGATACTAGCAATTTTAGATTAGAAAGATATATCTGTTAAATCTAATAGACAGATTCATTAAATAAATTTAATATCATTGTGAATATAATGCACAATGATCTAATATAACTAAATGTAAGTTACAACAATTAAGTTACGACAATATACCGTCGATAAATTGTTCCATGATTCCGTGAGGGAGTCGATCGTAAATTGCACTAAATCAATATAAAAACAATTAATTTGCTGCCGTTTAAAGCAGCACGTGCTCTGTGGAAGCACAAACAAAGTTCACGGCTGTGGATTGACTGTAAACACGTTAGTATTCGAAGAAATAGGAATTGCTCAGACGCAGAAAATTAAGGAACCGAATTAGAATACAAAAGGCAACTGCGTTACGACTAGCGGAGAACTGTTTCTCCCGTTCGATCCGAGGATTAAACAATGGCTCTTTAACGATTTCCCAATCGAATGTGTTCCGTGTTCTTTCGTGACTCTGGGATCTGTTGCGCGCTTCAAAAACGGCGGACAATTTATAATCAACGGCTATTATCGAGCGAAATGTATTCCGCACGAAACATTTTCAACTCGGAGGAAACATTCTCGTTCCCACGCGAACCCATAAAAAAATTTTAACAATACGTACGTGCCCGCATTGTGCAACACATGCAGCGGAATGTACGCGCAGAATACGTACGTTCCATCACTGTCGAATCTCAGAGGAAATTCGACGCAGAAATTTTGAACTAAGAGATCAACGGGCACCGACGAGAAACACGCAAATAATATCGGGGAGGTGTAAAACTAAATAAACAAATAACAAATAAATAAAGAAAGAAATAGAAATAAATAAATAACAAACAAATAAAGTTGTGAGAATCTGCAAATTGTAGAATCGCACATATTAACACGTTCGCGGGCGTGAATGCTATAGCATTCATTTTCATTGTGATGCAAAATGTCGTGGATGTTACAACATTCAAATTCCTGAGCCGCGTTATCTTGCATTCAATTCTGTATAGCGTTTATTTTTTGAAATTATTCCGCACTATAATCTTATCTGTATCGGCATGGATACTAAAACATTCACTGTACATAACTATTAAAATATGTTTTCCGTGCCCTCAAACAAAATATGGCTAATCAAAATTTAAATGTCACAATTAGTTTAAGAATAAATCACCTGTCCATTTTTCCAGCTCGTTCAAATTTTCACTGTCCGCGAACGTGTTAATTTTACTCGAACGTCGGTCTCTTCAAAGATCTGTGGAACACAGAAACTTTTAAAACTTTTTTAGCGGTAATAATGAAAGCTTTTATAAGTACTATTTTATTCCCGCTGGATTTATTTAGCGTGACACAAACTAATTCGACAACGATGAAAACATACTATTTCAGCTGAAAAGATAAAAAATCACGAGAAACCTGTGTTTCAAACGAATTTTCCATTTCAAACATAACAGTTACAAGATCCGTTCGCCTGAACAATCCGTTCCAGGAGCCGAAATAAGGAAACCCATTTCCCGAAGTCGCTGAAACCGCGACCGTAAAGACGGTAAACAATAAAGCAATGAAAGCGTCATCGTAAGAAATAGAGTCGGAAGGCGCGCTTCCGCTGGAACGCAAATTAATTGGCCCTGTCAGCGCGTTATATTCATGCGAGGCTAATAGACACGGAAGAGTGCGGGAGAGCGTTGCGCGAGTGAATTGTTTGCCAGCTTATCAGCAAATAAAATCCACCTGAATCATCGGGCAAAACCGAACGGCAGTTTCGACCGGAGACAGAGCGATGCGGCGATCAATTTACCTACATGCTGGACACACCGGTTCGCCGGAAGGGGAAAGTCGTACGGGAACGGTACCGATAATCGGCGAGCAACGAAACAACAGGCGGCTACGACCGGATCGGCAAGAACACTCGGTATATCGCAAGGATGTTAAATCCGCGCGAAAATGAAACCGTGGGCCAACAGAGGCGAAATTATCACTGTCCGACGAGTAGCCGCGATCGGTAGCGAAACAACGGATCGGGAATGACAACGATTCGACGACACTTTTCGAAGGGTTGAGAATCCATGGAGAACCGTGGACGCGGTGGAGAGGAACGCGCGCGTAACGCTTGCTACGAAGGAAGCGGTACCACTGAGCGTCGGGGGGGTTGCCGCTCGGCAGGCGGCCTCGACTCACTTGGGGCTGCTAACCGTAGGCCAGCCAGGGTTGGTGCTGGTGCTGGTACTCGTACTCGTGCTGCTGCTGACGAAACGACCTAGGTGGTGGTGGCGATGGTGGTGGTGGTGGTGGTGGTAGACACACCGGAGTAACGAAAGATCTCACCGCACGGAGCCACCTGCCGAGCCGTAACTTACGAAACTTTCCGTACCTTCGTTCCTTCAGCAACCAAGTATGTAAGTGTCTATACTGCGTCGTCAGATTCCACGAATTCCTCGAGATCTTCCTCGTGGACTAACAACTTATACGGTGTTGCGATTTCGTGGCTACCGAAATTTCGTTCTTGATTGAAACTTTCTCTTTCTGACACGTTTTCCAACGGTTCGTGATCCTTCGCGGATTGTACGGTAATTTTTCACCTGCGCGAGTACACAGTTTTTTGTAGAGTTTGAAAAACAATAGAGCTACCGAAAATATCTTTTCCGAACTGTTTGGAATTGGTTCCGACTCAAACGTTTTTTTAACTCTTTTATCTGAGACCATAACGAAAAGTGAACAAATGCTTTTTGTAGATATCGGTAATTTATATGCGTAGTGAAAATTTCATCGAAATCGGATACGATCTGTAAACAATTAAAGATTGGGAAGATCGCAATTCTATCACGATTTTTTACGATCTATGCAAAATAGTTTTACTGAACCACAGCATTGTCATCTTATAATAGCATTTTTCAAATGTTAATACAACATAAGTGTATTTGTTTTTTTCATTGTGCATTCATTATACTTTTACGAATAGAAAATATTCCCTTCTTTGGAACATATCTAAAAATAGCATTCAATCATTTGTAGGCAAATATAAGTATTTAATAATTATTTGATTGAGAGTAAAGTCATCGTAGAAACAAATTTCCTAAGAAAATTTATTAGTTCTCGATTATTCAGAGTAATAAACTCTTAAATTATGCTAGATATTTAATATAAATTTAAAGTTCTAATAGATTTTGAATAGAAATTTTATCTATACGTTTGCGTGTGTCTACAAACACACGGTTTACCCAGATACTACAGATATATGTGTATCTTAAAATGTGTATCAAACTATGTATCTTGCATGCAAATGAATTCATATTGGTAACTTATATGCATAGTGAAAATTTCATCGAAATCGGATACGATCTGTAAACAATTAAAGATTGGGAAGATCGCAATTCTATCACGATTTTTTACGATCTATGCAAAATAGTTTTACTGAACCACAGCATTGTCATTTTATACAATTTAGTGCATTTTATACGTATGAAATTGAATTTTGTGACTCGTACAACAGTTACGTTTCGCGAAATGTAAACAAATTTGATAACGTTAATATTATTTAGGCACGTGGTAGAGCAATTGTTAATGGCGCCTTAGAGTTGCCACTCGAGTGCAAAGGGTTGAACCTTTCGACGCTTGTAGCTTGGCTCTGCGTTAACCGTTTTCGATGAAATTTTCTTATCAAAATCTACAAAAACATTTTTTTAAATTTCGTTTTAGATTCAAATAGAAAAGTTAAAAACAAGAGCTTTTTATTTTGTTTGTCATTTCAAGTAATAGGAAAATTTCAAAAAGTTATTATAGTTATTGTCTAATAGACTAGATCCACTATGATCTAAAAGAAATGCAAGTCATTTAGTCCAGTTTTAAAAAAGTTATACCGTTTTTCAAGTGGTCTTAACTGTTTCGCCCTCATGTTATGTCGCGACACCGATACTGGCTGATTTCAATTTCAGTCACGGCTCGTAATAGCTCGAGATTTACGCAGAGAGTTTATAAATAAAGTATTGATATGGCCAAAGATAGTGATCATTTGAAAACAAAGTTTCATTTTTCCAAAGATTACGGCATAATAATATTCTCGCATTTAAGAGAAATAAAATTGAAATCGCGAATAGTATGACCTTGAGACAAATTTTCACACTACTTGCAAATGTGTATAAAAATGCAGATATCTTATAAGTATCCATTATATTGACAGGACTTTTTTATCCACTCCATTGTGATGTATTTGTAACAGAAACAATTATTTCAAAAAACCATCAGTCTCTGTTGATCTTATAAAAGAAAATTACTTTGTTACATATCGGAAACGTACAGTTAATTGATTTAAGCGAGACCTTTTTCAATTACCCAGCTAGGACGTACGAATAATAGACGAAGTAATGGAATAAAATCGCTGATCTTAATACCTGAATGAATTCACTAAAGATCAGACACTAATAGAATCACCATGGTGACCGGAAATTAAAATCTAACCCGAACCCCTGGCGTAGTTCCTACGGGTCAAATTAATGCCGCAGTGAATTCGGTGAAAATTAGTTTTAGCAAGCGTAGGGGAAACTGGGGAGGCCTGATGCATGCGGAGGTTTAGTACAATTTCATATTTTATACGTAACGAAGACAAGAGAATCGTATATTATAGACTAGAATGTTCTGATGTACAAGGTGTCACAAAATTATATGTCGGGATCATGATAAATTGTCGCAAGATTGACCTTAACCTAAAAAACTGAAGGTTAAAAATCGAACAATTGAAATTATAATTGAAATTTTATTGCATCGTACTCAAACGCATTTATGTTTTCTGTAAATAAATAACGTAATTTATGCAAATAAAGAAAAAGTTCTGAATTTCTTATCTTGAATTTCCAAGGTTGATGTCTATTCCGTGGCAAGTTGTTTATGTTAATATCCCATCAAACCGAGGGTGTAGAATCGTGTTATCATGATTTCGACATGTAATTTCGTGACACTGTAAGTTGCTGTAAGCTGTAACTGCCTTAACCAAGTTTGATGATACAAAATTTTGTGAAAAATGTTCTATAAAATGTGTGTTTCCTTGCTGTAAATTATAAGTTCTTGTCGAAATCATATATACAATTTTTGTCACTGTACATTAGTTTTAACACATGAACGGCGGATCTTTTCGGCACAAAAATATTGTAGCGAATATTGTTAGCGTCATTTATAATTTGATTTATCATTTTTGCTCAACATATTTTCTATAGACCTTAATAAAATATGTGAAAATTTAAATTAATTGTCAAAATGGATCCCTATTGACCCGAGCCCCGCTATTCGAGTATCACTCTGAAAAGCTATTTATTTTTCAAAATGAAGCTTTCAATATTACGTACACGGTTCTACTTTCATTGCTTCGAGTTTAAGTTGATTTCAGTTTAATGCCATTGGAATTATTGATTTACAATTGTGCAGTCGTACAACTCAATTATAGAGTGTAATTTAATAGACGTCGGATATCCAAAGCTCGTTAGATCGCCTGAAATGAAAACCTACCAGTTTAAAACAGTAGGAAAGAAGAAAATAAAGAAGAAAAACGATAAACAGGTTCCTGAATTATTAGAACAACAAAATATAATTAAAACAATATAAAAACATTTATACTCTTCTCAAAAATCGACAAATCTCTGTCCTACAAGAAAGATACGTAAACGAAATCGAAGATGAAGATGTGGTTTATATTTACTGCAGTTCATTATTTTCACATTAGAAATCTCATATACGCCTACGGATAGTACCAAACGTCTATAGGACGTCTGTTTTATGTCCAATTTACGTCTGCACATCTTACGTCCATTTGAGACGTTCCATGGACGTTCTCGGAACTTAAATTTCAGGATTGAGAATTTAATCCTGAGAATGTTCGCGCAGAATGTCCTTGCAATGTTCTACTTTATAACTGGGACCTTTCTAGGACATTTACAGAACGTAACGAGGATATGGATGTTAACGTGACGTTCCTAAATCGTACAGAATTTCCATCATTGACGTACATAGGACGTCTTTGTGCTATATGAGCTGCATTCGATACCAAAAATTAGCTTAAATGGTGTTATGCGCAACGTGATGACATAAATAGACGAACAAAATATCTAATTTTCAAATTTGTACAAGATAACCGTTTCAATTTGACGTTCATCGTGCAAAATTCAAAAGTTTGTGTTTATTTTTGTTTAATATTTTTGTCTTTAAATGTACATAGGACGTATTAAAAGTAACTGTGTAGACGGTAACGTATTTCTACGTTCTCGACTGGGTCGATGTACATTTTCAAGGTCAAATTGTTTTATTGGAACGTATTTTACCAGTTGCGACAATAAAAAGTCCCAAAGGAACCATGGGTCGTAAATGAACCGTTCTCTCGGAAAAAGGGTGTTGAAGTTACACCGTCAGTTAAATATTGTTATCGCATTGCAGGTTTTTAACCATATAGTAGACCCGGAACGTTGTTGGCTCTATATGATTTTATTTAATACATTTGTCTAAATGTGGACACTGTTTCCCGGTCTGCAGTTAAGGGATCATGTTGTCTCAGCGTACTTTTAATCATCACCTAAATTAATAAATAATTCAATCTACGGACATTGAATAAAACAAATCGTTATTACATTAGGAACAACCGAAAAATTAATAGATCTATGAGAAGAATCTTCAAAAATATGTTTTGCAAAATTAATTAATAAAGTTGAGAATTATTAACATCATCCTCAATTGAATAATCCGTCTTCTGATGGTTGATAAAGTAATGCTGATAATTATCAGCATTACATTATTAATTATAATGAATAAAAATACCCTTTTTAAGTTGCAATGAAATTCAGAAAAAAATTCTTAACATGATTGAAATTATTGTGAACTAGAAACTGTTTAAATTCATTTTTAATATTGTTTATTTTCTAATAATTCCTTACAACTATAATGATACAATTTTAGATAGAAAAAAGGCCAGAGAATTCATAAATATCACAATCAACACCTTTTTTTAAACATTTGTTTACTTACCATGCTATAAAATAGTTCTTCTGTCCTCTCAAAAGGTGTCCGATTATTATAGTGAGTAATTGTATTTATTTCTACACATGTCCCAAATCTATCTCCCATCCGATAATGCTTCGTTGCTGTTGTTATCCGTATTTTCAATACGTTCAATAAATTCAGAACTTTCCATTGTCGA